TGTAGTTCTTAATACTTTGTAGTTCCCTTTTTTTTGTAATTTTTTAAATTTCTGCATTTTGAGATGGGTTTTGTGAGATGTCGATGTAGTGTGTTGTTATGTGTTTGTGGATTTAGAGTTCCCTGTTTTTTGCATTTCGTATGTCCTTCATAGAGCTCCAGTGGATTTCCCTGTTCTATGTATTTTGAGATGTCTGTAAAGTGTGTTCTTATGTGTTTGTGCATTGTAGAATTCTGTTTATGGGTTTCCTGAGATGTCTGTGTAATATGTTGTTATATTTTTGTGGATTTAGAGTTGTCTTTATGTCCTTTATGAGATGTCTGTGTGGCTGTGATGCTTGCCTTTATGTTTATAGTATTTCGATTTGAGAAGTCTGTATCCTGTGTTCTAAAATGTGTGTGCATTGTAGACTTGTCTATTTGCTGTTCCTGAGATGTCTGTGTACTTTGTTTTTATATGTTTGTTCATTGTGTAGTTGTCTATATAGTTTTCCTGAGATGTCTGTGTAGTGTTCTAGCATATGTTTGCGCATTTTTTAATTGTCTATAAGGATTTGTTGAGATGTGTGTGTACACTGTTCTTATACGTTTGCGGCTAGCAGAGTTGTCTTTATGGTTTTGCTGAGATGTCTGTGTAGTGTGTTAATATATGTTTGTTTATTGTGTAGTTGTCTATTTAGTTTTCCTGAGATGTTTGTGTACTTTGTTTTTATACGTTGTGCATTTTTGAGTTGTCTATATGGTTTTCATGAGGTGTCTGATGTCTGTCAGCATTGGTTGTGTGCAATTTTTTAGGATGGAATTGCAAAGATACAATTCTCTGCTCAACTGATTCAAAACAATTGCTATTAAATTTTTATTTGTCTGATCAGTATTTTGAGGTTAGGCCTAATGTGTAAATGATCTTGGTTTGTACTTGCTTAGTTGAACAAAAATATCATTATGAGTTTAACTCGATCGTTGGACCTCTTTATTAATAGAATGTTTTGTTGTATTGTTTCAAGATGCAGATTATCGTCAGGTTTTGAATTCCAATTATGACAAAACCTATACACGGATAAAGAAAGGTTTATGAATGTTTGATGTGCTCCAATGCAAGAATGAGAGGATGAAGGAACACGATAAATTGATAACTAAATATTTAATTTAATACTTGTAATTAATAGTTTCTGAAGTTAATGTTATTGTTTGTAGAATGTAATTGTACTTAGATTTGCTTGATTTTCAATGATGTATCATATACGTTATGAAAATTGATATGTCTTTGGTGTTATTGGATTTCAAACGTAAGTGTAATAGAATTTGTTGTGGAATATAATAGTTGTTTGACAAAAAATCCTTTTTATTCATTTGGGAAAATGACATTTACATGGACAATTCACCTTAAAATTGTGTAACTCGAAATTTTTTATTCATGTCGCACACAATTCACCTTAAAATTTATATAGCAATTGTCTGTACATAGACAAAACTTGTATAAACATTATCAACTTTCATTCCAACTACACTTTCATTCCAACATGCAGAATAATCAAATCCATCACATTACAGTCAATTATTTTGCATAATACAGACAGAATTATACAGAAAAAATGCAGACAAAATGCAGAATAATACAGACACTTAGTTTTTACTAATCAAATATATGAATCAAATGATAGTACTCCACAATAATACAGACACTTAGTGTTTACTAATCAAATATATGAATCAAATGATAGTACTCCACAACAATTATCATAAAATGTTGCAATAAATGCTTGCCGAAGTACAACCAAAATGCATATCAATGTGTACTACTAGCTACACAGACAACCGCAAAATATACAGACATTCCTGTACGTATGCCACAGACAAAAAAATATTGGAAGCACATTGTAGAATTATTGTACAACATGGCTCGGCCATTATTGTACAAAATACTACATCTAACCACCAGTATGTCAAAAAATACATCTACCCCCAATGTGTTTTTAATAATTACATATACAAAAATAATTGTTTTACAACATCGATCTTGCCATCATTGTTCATCATTGTACAGACATTTAGCTTGATTGTCTTTCATCTTCCATAGGCGTTTAGCATACTCACGCCTCTTATCTTTCATCGATCTTACAAGGTTAGACATTCACTAAGCAGTTCTAAGGCATCTTCGTAGTCAGAGTGCACAGAGTATTGTGCGGGAAAGTAGTCTTTGATGGGAATCTTCAATTCCATCCTGCAAATACAGACATTTGTCAGAAATACAGACATCTATGAAAACTATATACACAACTCTGCAATCGGCAAATGCTTATAGACAAGTAAAAAATGAAAATACATATGCAATAACACACTACACAGTCATCTATGAAAACCATAAAGACAACTCTGCAATGCACAAACGTATCAAAACAAACAACACAGACATCTCAGGGGACATATATACACAACTCTACAATCCGCAATTGCTTATAGACAAGTACAAAATGAAAAAAAAAAACATATGCAATAACACAGTACACAGACATCTATGAAAACCATAAAGACAACTCTGCAATGCACAAACGTATCAAAACAAACAACACAGACATCTCAGGAAAACCATATGGGTTTTGAACAACATTTTACAGATGGCTTTTAAAAAGTAAAAACGTACAGACAAGCATCACACCCACACAGACATCTCATACAAGCCATAAAGACAACTCTAAATCCGCAAACATATAGCAAAACACTAAACAGACATTTCAGGGGAAACCCACAAAAAGAACTCTGCAATGCACAAACATATAAGAACACAGTTTACAGACATCTTAGAATACACAAAACAACACACTACACCGACATATCAGAAAACTCATCTCAGAAAAAACACAACAATGAAGATGGTTATGAAGATCTTTACCTCTGAGCCAATTGAGTCAATGATGTGCGCACCATATCCTTCGAAATCGAAGCCTTGCACTTAAAATTTTAGATGAATTTCAACCTCGCCCTTCGAAATCAGTAACCGCCGTACGTACGAGTTCAGTGGAGTGAAGCGGACGACGGCCGGGGGGGTTTCGTGACCTGCGAACAGAGAAGAAGAGGGAGAAGGGTGTCAACTTCGTCGTAGGTGTCAAATTCGACGGACGAACGGAGAAGAAGAGTGAGAAGGGTACAGATGAATGGAGAAAGGGAAGGAGAAGGAGAAGTGGGGCGGGTTAGCTCAGAAGGAGGGTGGGGTGGGTTAATTAGAAAAAGGGGTGGAGGTGGGGCTTTTTGTGCTGTGTACACCGGTGTGTAAACCGGGGTGTACACAGCGAATTTTCCATTAAAGTAACCTAAAGTGGTTCGTTTATTAGTTCTAAATAAACAATCCCATGATGGGTCAAGTCTATACAAAAAAGGTATGTGAAACACATATAAGCATCAATTTGTTGATCGATTGATTTGATGTAACACCAATTTAATACTCCAAACCCTAAAAAACCATTTTGAATTCACGCACCATTTTGGCGCACATTAGTGACATATTCATGCATCCTAAGTTCCTAATAAGGGTGTAAACGAGACAAACCAAGCCCTAACTCACATATGCTCGAACTCAAGTTCGAAAATATTTTATATGCTCAAGTTCGATCGAGCTTAAAATATTGAAACTCGAGTTCGACTCGAAAGCTTCAGTTGAGCTTGCGACCCGCTCGAGATTGACTCGAAAGTTTAGCCATTTCATCAAAATTTGATGATGTGCGACTTGCTTGGTGGTCAATTGTTCCCTTGGATATGAGGTAATTTATAGCTGGCTGATAGAGAAAAATTTTCCTCGGAGTAGGAGTACACAAAAGTCTGTCACAAAGGGGATTCGAACTCGGGTGGCATATGAAGCCAGCAAGGAAATGTCCACCCAGCCTATCAACATGTTTGTGTAAATTTTGATGTCAATTTGTTTTATTGTCATTGCTAGTGAACTAACAAAAAACTAATACTCACTTCGTATTATATATTATAATTTTATTATAAATAATGATTATAATTATAAATAATGTTTCATTAAATCTTTTCTATTATAATATACGTAGTAATAAGTATTAAGAATAGAGTAATCCTAAATTAGAATAACTATTCCAAAAATAATATATATATATATATATATATATAATTATATACAACATCAAGGCTCGCGAGTCATGAGCCTAAAATAAAGAGGCTTGACTCGAACTTGTTTAGTATGCGAGTCGAGCCGAACTTCAATATAGTCGAACTCGAGTCGAGCTTTTCCCGAGCGATCCACGAGCGGCTCACGAACGGCTTGGTTCGTTTGTATCCCTAATTGTAAGTGTTACAAACTTACAACTATTAAGGAAAAGTATTTTTCGTTACGTGGGTTTCTATAATACTATCGTATGCTTTTCCGGTCCTCTTTTCAAAAATCCTCCTCAGGATAAGCAACATTATATACCTAAACCGGGCGAAAAGGACTACAAGTATCCTAGTTTTAACTTAATATCTTCCAAATTGATGATTGAATAACAAGGACAGCCCCTATGTTGCAATTGATTCATCCCCAATTATTTCTGAACTACAAAATAAAACTCAATTTTCTTGCATCTACTTATTTTCATAAGTTACCAGAAACTAGGACAGTAAAGTTAGGACAGTAAAGACGAAAAGAAGAGGGTATTATTTAGTTACTTCATACGTCCCAAACCGAAAGCGTCAAAAATTTTTAGCCCAAAAAATCAAAAAAGGGTGTTAAATGTCAAATTTAACTTCAATGATTGCCTGGTTAGTAACTTAGTATAGGGATAGGGAGAAAGGTAAAGGTGAATTTATAGTTAAAAATGGGTAGCAGGTGAAATAGAAATTTTGATAAAAAGATTTCATGGTCCATACTCCATTGTCCATTAGTCGTTATTGTTTACACTTTACACTACAAGTCGTATTCGGATTTCGGACGTTCGTGTCACAAAAGTTTTTGTTACTAGTATTAATTTTGACTACTTTTGAGTAGGATCATATTTTGTATTTTTAGTTCTTCATTTTAGATTTTTATATAATTCGTTAGAGGACTGAAAGGTCCACCATCTACGATCATTTTTCAGAGAAGGAAGCATCAATGGAAAAGATACAAATAGGCAAAAAAGAGTGGAGTAGAACACACATATATTAAAAACAGAGTACCAACACGACAACAACATTCAAGTCCAAACGTCCAAACTAGTTTGGGGTGGACATTATTCACCTGACGTAACAAGAACAAGACATTAATTAACTAAGGGACATAATAGTCTTGTAACACTGCAGAACACATAATTAAAACAAACAACAAACCCTCAGCAGTAAAACTCCTCCTCTTCTTTCTCTGCCTGCTTCCAAGAGCTTTCAAGAACAGATTTTGGCGAACCACAGGTGTGGGCCCTCACAAACTTCTGGTAGACAACAGAACCAGCCATTCCAAACTCTTCATTTCCCTTCTCACAAAGGTAGTAACCTTTCACATCTAATGAGCAAATTTGCTCAAGCAGTTTTCCCATAACATCAGCATGAACCGCAACAGAGAACTCACTCGGTTCAAAACAGGTAAGCACCCTCTCAATCATCATTGACAGTTTAACATCTTCCAGATCATACCCAGCAGCTTCAAAGCTCGCATAACTGAATCCATCTTCTGGTGTAACATGAATAGTGGATATGGCATCGGCTTCAATAGAATTCATGGAATAGCCACATGGATCAAATTCAAAGTCACAAATGTCTGATTCAGGAAGGATCTTCCTTATTCCGGAGTTGTGGGTCATAAAAGCAGCGGAACTCGAATCATTCTTGTAAAACACCCTAGCCTTATCCTGATCCAATCCAGTCATGCACATTTCAAGGGTGTAAACAGGGCTCTCTAATTGCATAGCAGAAACAGCTGAAGCAGTATAAACATGCCACTGTTGTGGAGAATCAGAGCCGCCCAAGACGGTTGCTTTGCTTCCAAGGTATCCAAAATGGCTATCGAGAACAGCAACTTCTTCAGAGAAGCTCCGGTGAGGAAACGACTGGGCTCCTGGGAAAATGAAGCTCCCACGGGTGTACCTAACAGCTTGTACATTCAGAGAAACAGACCCTGCCAGTTTCAGGATAGGTGGGATAGAGCGAAGCAATTTTGTGGTTCCACAAGTTTTGATGATGATCTTGTAAGGATAGACAAAGAGGCTTGATTCAGAGAGGACATAAGAGTCCAAGAACTCATTCGACAGAGAAGAAACAATGGTGCACTCAGCTGGGCCAAGAAACTCATCCAATTGGGCTCTGGAAAGGGCACGAAGGCCCCTTCCATGAGGATCAATGATGGATTCAGGTTGGGCAAAAACAATCTCAAGCCTCTTTTCATAACCTTCAAAGCCAATAGCAGACACTGGCATTTCCATTTCCATTGTCATGTTTAGGGACTCAGAGAAAACGGTTTAGGGAACGGCAGGGAAAGCGAACAAGGAAGCAGTAAAAGAAAGAAGGAAAAGGAGCGGGTTTTTAAGACAGCTAAAAGGAAAAGAATTGTAAAAGAAAGCAGACAAGAGCACGTCCAATAGACGTGAAAGGAATATCAGATTAGGGTATATCAGGATGGTTTGCGAGCGCACTGCAAGAGAAGAAAATGAAATACAGATCGTAAGAACATAAAATTGTGTAAAGAACATCTCAATTGAAAAAACAAAATACATATTGTGAGAACAGAGTGAAATCCAATTACATACGTTGGAGTAAGCAGCAGATCTGAACTTCTTGATGCCACCGTTTGGTCGAACGTCTTCAATGCTGTAGCCGAGGGGAGCTTCGTAAAATAAGGACGATTTACTACTAGACTTTTTCCCTCGATTGGACTCCATTAGAACATTCAATCCTGCAAGTTCAACATTCATAAAAAAACGATGTCACGTTACTACATTCCATGGATCAAGTAATATTATCACCAAAACACGAATTACAGAAGATAACACACAGGCTAGCGGAGTCGGGTTTGGTAAATCACAGGTAAACTTCAAAAATAAAACTTGCGCAATAAGCCAAATCGACGGTTCCGCCCCAGATTTAGACAATCGCTCAACAGATAATTTACAGAAAAGTAAAGATCGAAATTTAGGGTTTTAATTAAAGATCTGTGGATGAATCGATGAAAGGTTGTAAAACAAGAACAAAAACTTCAGATGCTAACATGCAAATCGGACAGCGATTAGCCTAAATTCATAACAAAAACACAAAATTTTGATGCATGAAACACAATATGAATCAGCACTAACATAAGATCCGGACTTACAATATCAGGTCTAGATTCTTTATGGAACCCGTTGGCCTAAACGATAATCTTCGAATTAGGGTTGGCCGATCTCTGCTTTGGGGAAGAGGCTAGAAAAGAAACAAGACAAAGGAGGGCTTCGGGCTTTCAATGTATGTTCGTGACGGGTGTAAGGCTGAGGAGAAACCTCTATATTTATAGAAGCGCCTGGGACGATTTTGCCCTCGCTCTTGATTTGTTATGACCGGGCAGCCCATCTGCCCGCTGCCCCGTGTACTATGTATGCGGTCATCCGGATTTCGTGGCCCGCAAATTTTCTTCCTTTCCGTTCAACTTTTTAATTTAGGGTTTGCTTTTGAAAATAGGAGTGTACAGATGTCAATTTGCGTGGATATGAATAAGCGGGATTGAACCCGATGCGTTTTCCTGTGGCCATGCTTTATTGCCCAAATAATTCGTTTTATGCTTTTCGTATCATTTTGTGTGGTCATGATTCAACAAGATTTATTACTTTTGATGTACTAGTACAGTAGTACTACGTATAAAGTAACCTCAATCGTATTCTTTTGAGTTAATTATCAAAATAGGACTAAAAGTCATTCACTTTGCACAAATAGGATCAAAAAATAAATTATGTTTCCATAGGACTAATTATGTTTGTCTTGGACAAATATACCCTTATAACTATTGGAATGTTTTAATTCATAATAAAATAATAAAAAATAATGAAAATTCGTAAAATATACCAAAAAATTAATAAAAATATTTTGAATAATAATAAATTTAAAAAAAAAATTAAAAAAATAAAAAATAAAAAAAATTAAAAAAAATTTAAAAAAAAAATCAAAAAAATATTTTTTTTTGTCACCGCCGCCTATACCGCCCCAGCACCACCACCTCTAGTCATTTGGGGAAAAAATGCCAAATTTATTATGAATTCCATATTTTTGGCATAATTCAGAATGATTTAAGATGGAAGAAAAAAAATGTTGGCATTCTCAAAGAGAAATATGCCATATTTTTGGCATTTTCCGAAAAAAATGGAAGTTTGTAGGAAATATGACATTTTTTTTAACGGTCGGAGGTGGTGGTGCAGGGAGGCGGTACCACCACCTCCTGTCACCGGGGTAAAAAAATGCCAAAAAAATTATGAATGCCATATTTTTGGCAAAAGTCAAAAGGATTCAAGTTGGCAGAATGAAAATGTTGGCATTCTCATAGAGAAATATGCCATTTTTGTGGAATTTAAAAAAAAGTGGCATTTTTTACACCGATCGGAGGTGGTGGTTCAGGGAGGTACTACAGGCGGTGGGAAAGGTATCCATATTTTTTATAATTTTTTTTATGGAGTTTTACTATTTTTTTATTAATTTTCAAAAAAAAAAAATAAAAAAAAAATTCTTATTTTTTATTTTATAAAAATTATATTAATTTTTTTATTATTTTTCTACGAATTATTAAAATTTTTTCGAATTTATTATGAATTAAACATTTAATTATGACTTTTAACTATCTTTTACTAATATTTAAAGGAGGGGTAAGAATGGAAGGAAGAAATGAGTATGTTTCCAATAGGACCACTATGGTCCTATTTTGAAAAAAAACATAGCAAGTCCTATTTTGAGTTTTTGCCATAGTTTTAGTCCTATTTGAAGTAATTTCTATATTCTTTTTTCTTTTTTACTTGTCACATATCGGTTTACAATATTAGAATATTTTCTTTTGTACTCCCTCTGTTGTTCCAACTTTCTCTTTTCGTCCGTCCCAAAAAGAAGTTCACTTTCCCTTTTTGGCAAAGAATTTGTGGTTCACAGCATTTCTCTCTCCTCTGCACAACTCTCCACCACACAATTCTCACTTTCTTAATCACCGTGCCACTTTACTTTGGAACAACAATTAGGGACGGAGGGAGTAATGTTTTTGGTCTTACATCAAATCAAGTCAGATCAGACTAGACCAGATTAGATTAGACTAAATTAGACTTTTGTAGTTATAAAATACACAGAGACCAGACGTTTATCAAACTAGGTTAGATCAGATCAGACCATACCAGACCAGATTAGACCAGACCAGCAAATATCAGTCCAAAAGAAAACACTCTTAATTACTTATAAAGTTAACGGATTTTTGTGAATAATAGTTTTATTACCAAATTTGATCATATCAGACTATGGCAATTGTAAAATACATACGGAGTATAAAATAATCATCCATTATACCGGTCTAGTTCACATTAGATAAGAAAATTTTAGTGCAATGAAAAACATTCTGAAATAATATCAAAGTTTTGAAGATAGTATTACTGTCACGCCCCAGACCGCGATCCAAGCGCGTGTACAACCGCCGTATAACTAAGTGACGTCACCCACGAGTCAACCTCACTTAATTACACAAGGCGTTCGAGAAAACAATTCATCCATACTCAGTAGTAAACATACATAACAACATCACATTTAAACCAATGAATAGCGGAAATATTCAACGGTAAGTCATGAGCCACAACCGGCCAACAACATGGGCATGCAAGCCCAAAAAGTGTTTATAGTAAAACAAATACCCATGAGCAAGTGTTCGGTAGTTTGAAAGAAAATAAGGAAGCACGAACCACGTCTTCCTGATTTGATATCACCCGTGAGAAGGTGCAAGTAGCAAGCCCTAGCTTCAACCTGAAAATGGTGGGGCCCCCCGAAGGGGTCAGTACAAGTACCGAGCGAGTAGCAGGCTAAATATAGAATAACTAGCGTTTCAAGTATAAGACCCAAACATAGGGTGATACTTAAATAGATAGTCCTTCCCCCAAGTTATGAAATACTTATAAGTATATATATACTTGGAAAATATCCGATCCGTAGATCACCATTTTATTTGGGAAAAATAGTATTAGTCAATATTCTTGACTAAAAACCTCAACCCACCCATATACCCATGAGTGTATAGGACTCCTCCTTGTCCCTATTTGTATATCCTAATTTATGAGTTTTAGGATCAAAATCCTCGGATACTCCACCGGTTTGTGAGTGTTAAGGCCTCATAAGTCCTAGGGTCCTCCACCAAGTTTTTGAGTGTTAAGTACTTTTAAGTACTAGGGTCCTCCACCAAGTTTGAGTGTTAAGTACTTTTTAAGTACTAGGGTCCTCCACCAAGTTTTGAGTGTTAAGTACTTTTTAAGTACTAGGGTCCTCCACCAAGTTTGAGTGTTAAGTACTTTTTAAGTACTAGGGTCCTCCACCAAGTTTGAGTGTTAAGTACTTTTTAAGTACTAGGGTCCTCCACCAAGTTTGAGTGTTAAGTACTTTTTAAGTACTAGGGTCCTCCACCAAGTTTGAGTGTTAAGTACTTTTTAAGTACTAGGGTCCTCCACCAAGTTTGAGTGTTAAGTACTTTTTAAGTACTAGGGTCCTCCACCAAGTTTTCCTATTATCAACCTCCTATCAACCTAGATAGAGTCTATATCATACTTAGTTACTCATAACTAATCCAATACATAAATTCTTATGTATCACAACCCATGCAAAACCATGCATGTATATAGATTTATATTTAATTAATACCAACCGGTATTAATTAAATCCTTTGTTCTTCGGTCCACGTTTTCGTTGACCGCCATTTCATGCCTTGTGTGTATCAACTTAATCATCATATAATTAAGTTAATAATATTCATTTGTGCTTCTAATACACTTCAAGCAAATATGCATTTCATATAATTCTTCATATCATATTCCATGCATCAACAATTAATTTCTTTCATACAAACTTAACCCTATTGGCTAATCACATGTTTAAATATCTTTTAAACATTATTATGAACTCATATAACATTTATTTAGGTAATCTCATAATTAACCCAAAAGTTATAAGATATTAAGCCGTCCACTCACCTTGAGCTAGCGTTTTGAAGTTTTACCCTTCTTGGTTGAACTCCGGTGAAACTCCGGCGACTTTTGGTCAACTCCGGCGACTACTCCGGCGACTTTTCCAACTTTGTGAAATCACTTGAAATACCCTTTACAAGTCCCTAACAAGGTTTTATAATCATAAAACCCATATTAATACAAATAACCTCAAAAAGGTTATTTTCCGGTGAACCGGTCGTTTTGGCTTCTAAGTCCGTTCTTGGACATAGAATCACTTTCCAACCCATTAATCCATACTTATAACATGTAGAACCCTCTTAAGGATTCTTCACATGATATATATCTCATATGGTAGAAGAAAAATAAAGAAAAAGTTATAATAAGGTCATTACCTTAATTATTTCACACTTTTAACACTTTAGCTCCTTTTTGGGTGATTCCTCTTTGATGAGCTTTCTTCAACAATGGAGGAAGGAGGTTGGGTGGATTTTCTTGCTCTCCCTGGTTCTCCTTGGCCGAAAATGAGGGAGGGGAAGGGGTGAGGTATACTCATTTGTCTCATAGAGCAAATGAGTGTGGATGGGGCCACCTCCTCTTTGTTTGATGCTAAAAGGATCACATCACCATCCCCCATGTTTCTCCTCTCTATGCCAACCGACCCAGCCCTCAATTTGAGTGGCAAAAATCGTGGGTTGGCCCCCACTCATGTGGGAGGTCAACCCTTTTTGTCCCGAAGTGTACAATCGGTCCCGAAAGTTGTATTTTTCGGACTGTTTTAAATATATTTTATTTTATCGGGTCAAATAAAATATATTATGTGCTCTTACTCATTATGACATGTATAATGAATATACATTCCCCAACTTTAATTTATAAGCCCCCGAAATTCAGTTCGGGCTGTTATCAGTTAAATTACCAGTACCGATAATTTGGGCTCCTTTTGACCAACCGGTCTACTCTGGGCTTTTCCATAGCCCAAATGAAATATCCACCACTATATATTTATTATCTAGACCAAGATGAATAAAATATATGGTCTCGGGAATGTCGGGCGGCCCCCGCTCCCGGTGTGTGTCCCACGTGCAATTTATTATTCACGTGAAAGAAATAACAAAAATTTACAACTTCGTAAATTCATTAATTCTTTAATAAGGTTCAATACATTATTTACATAAAAGTAAATATATTTGGGGACGGTGTTACAAGTTCACCCCCCCTTATTTGGGATTTCGTCCCCGAAATCCAAGTATCTAATCGAAAAGAAATGGGTATTGCTCCCTCATTGAGACCTCGGTCTCCCAAGTTTCTTCTTCG